TGAGGCTTGAGAACATCCTAACTTCTTATAATAGAGCCTGTATCAGATATAAAATTTAAGCTCTCAACTACCTACCCATTTATCAGATCACAACCTGACCCGGCTCTATTTCTCATAGACATACACACGATTTTTGACCTATTCATTAATAGTCGAACGTAACATATAAATTGATCATCTGATTTCTGATTCGCTGATCTAATTTTTTTTTTGATCAGGATTTAATCAGTAGTAATTTTTTTTTTCGTTTGGGCTATTTTGTGATCAAACTAATTTCTTTTTTTTTTTTACTGGTAATAGCTAAAGCATTTGCGGTTTGAATTCACTTTTTTAATGCTATTGGCGTTACTGGTTGTAGCTTTTGTTCTTTTTTATAGTTTGCAGCTTCAACTAATATTTTTTTTGCTTAAATAACAGTTAAAAGCTTTGCTCGGGTTAGATGTTACGTCGGTAGATTTCGTTCACTACTTGATCTTTTTCTTCAAATAACGGTTAAAAGCTTTGCTCGGGTTAGATGTTCCCTTTTTGGTGCGTCATTAGTGGAGGTAGATTTCGTTCGCCACTTGATCTTTTCGTTACTTCGGCCTTTATTATCAATTTTATTTTTTGGTATTCTGGTATGTGCATGTTCAGGCTTATGTCTTTGGCATCATCATCGAAACCTTTACTAATGTGTTGCTTGTTGCTTCGGTATTAACGGAGTTTATTAGAAGTGCCACAGTTTTGCCGTTGATATCTGTGAAACCGTCTTACAAGAGCCCATTGTGTAAAATTTCAATTCCTATTCTTTGGCAAAATCCATTTTCTCTCAAACGAATCCTTTATTCATTTTTAATTATTTCGATTCCTATTTGGCAAGATCAATTTTCGTTCAAACGAAAGTATTTATTTATTTTCGTTTCTTGTTGAAGGCAAATAAATATAAACATAAATTTTTTTTATTTTGATTTTGTTTATCATACTGTATATTGGTCGCTTGGAATCCTAACCCGAGATTCATTTTTAAACCAAAATAGCAGCACCTGTTTGAGCTAAAAGTCTGTTTATATTCGATTCCTTCTTGTTAAGGTTATTGGTCGACATGAACAGTTTTTTCCATAAATTTTTGTACAACTAAGCACACCAACATGTTTTGGACAAGCATTTGAACGAAAATTTAAAATCGTTGACATTGTTATGACATCGTAAAATGATCATTATGATACAAAAATAGCCTTTATTAATATATTTATTATACCGAAATCAATAAACTTATCGAATTCGGCCGAAATTATCATTGGCAAATTTTTTTGTAAAATCTGCGAAAATCTGTATTTTTGCCGAATTTTACAGTTCTGCAAAAATCTGCATTTTTGCTGAATTTTACAGTTCTGTAAAAATCTGCATTTTTGCCGAATTTTACAGATCTGTAGAAATCTGCAATTTTACTTATTTTCGCAGATCGAATTTAAAAATCCTGTAAAAATCTGCATTTTCGCAGAAAATTGCAGACCTGCACTAAAAAAATTTCCCCGATGTCGGATAATTACTGCTACCAAAATTTTATAGATAACGATAAAATTTGTGAGAAGTGCCATTTTTCCGAAATAAGTACTGAAGTACTCTAATGCAATTTTAGTCAATTAGCTCATGGCACATAAATTTTGTGATGTGACTTATACTAAGCGATTTTGACGACGGGTCGTTGCTAAAATTTTGGTCATGTGATTTCAATCATTGTTTGATAAAAATTTTTGTAAGTTTATCATACCCGGTCACATACGTTAGATCTCATCACGTGTTTATAATTTTCTTTTTCCACTTTTTCCACCATTTTTTTTTTCTTTGTAATCATGAATACACAACCAATACTCAAGGCTTTTTACAATGACATCAGATCGAGGACTGGGTGTGCATTAATATGGTAGAATTTTATCATGCGAAATCAGGGCAAAAAAATCTGATTAAGATAATGGATCATATAAAAAAGGACCTTCAGAAAGTAGCAGATGATGATTCTGAATTTGAGATGACGCGCAAAAGAAAAGCTCGGGAAATCCTTGACAATTGGAAGGTATGATCATTAGTAAAATAGATATTTGAATGAACTAATTGCTTAGTCCAACAGTAATGAACTCTTGGTTCGACGCTTAGCGCAAGCTGAGACTCTTGGTCTTCAGTGATGAATTCTTGGTTTGACGCTTAGTGCAAACTAGGACTCTTGGTCTAAAGGATAGCTCTTAGTTTGACACTTCTTTTACTTTTAAGAAATTTTTTCTTGCAAGTATTGTTGTTAATTCTGTTTTTTTAAGAAATGGTCTACACAAAAGAAAAACCTGAAGCGTTCCAATGGCGTGAATATTGGGAGTTTGCAAGTAAAAAAGATCAAGCAGTTCGCTGGAAATCATGCGAACCAAATCATGGGTAATAATATAACTTTAGGAACAAAAAAGGTACAAATGCATTGCTTTTATTAGCTAGATATTGAGAATCGTAAATCAATTATATTTTGTACTTTAATGCTTTAGGATGATCACGAAGAGTTACGGAAAACTCCCGAGCATAAAATATATTCAGATTCCTTCGTTCCCCCAACCAGAAGAAGTGAAAGTGACGATAAAGAAACTGACAGTGATGCCTTTAGCCCAGATAAGAGAAACCCTAAGAATTTTACGTTCGATGAATTTGTAGATGGGAACGATGAATATGTGGATGATGATCAAGAGAGTCTTTTTCTAGATGAGTTTTTTTTGGATGATTCGGTTGCGCTTGATGATGGCAATCCCGTGAGTTTCTCTTCTACCAGTTAATATGCTTTTATGTTTTCTAATAAATTTCTTTGAAATATATAGTATATGTTTCAAGATAAGAATATATCTGCGCTATTCACATCATATCGTTTAAATGCATAGCAAATAGCATGGGAATCGGGTTTATCTATCAAAACAAATTACCATGAGATATTGTAAGTTTGAATTTTGAGAATAAATTCTCTTGTATGAATTATCAGGCTAACAATATTTATTTGGAAATATTAAGAGCTTATCTCATATTTTATTATTACAAGCTGATAACTTCTCGGATCTGCAGATTGAACAATTTTCCGGTGATACTCTAGTAGATTTTCGTAAACATATGCGCAATATATATATAATTAAAAACAAAGTCGCACAAAGCGTAAAGGCGATATTTCGAGAATGCATTGAGGTAACGTATTAGTGTACTATTTTTGTGAAAAGTCACTTATCGTAATTTTTTTCATATGGTGGTTTTTAATGTATTAGATTGCACTTGATGAAGATCTCGGGCCGAAAGAAGCAGAAAAAACTTTAGAACAATTATTCACAAAGTCTTTTGATGATCCCATTGACCAGAAAAAGTTCGAAAGGATGCGGTTTGTCTTTTTACAGCTGTAAGTTCAACTTATAGCATTTTTTATCTCCTATATGTTCAACTGGTTATAATCTTTTTATCTATCTCAAAACGAAAAATATTCCTATTAAGCCACTGAAAGACCTTCTCAGTGAGGGCACTCTGACTGTCAACATCGTTAGTCCAGTATTGCGTTCCTTCTTACATGATGCTTCAATACATCCAGTCATATAGCCAAACACTGCCAGTATGAGCGCAAAAGTCCGTAAACTTGCCAATTTAGATTCTTCACGAGCAAAGCAACCAGATATGATCGGCAATGTTGTAAATAACAACAAATCTAAATACGAAATGATGTTTGGAGAGATTACAGGAGAAGGAAAAAACAATAACATAAAGAAAAACAACATGGATCTTATCAGACTAGGCATTTTCATGAAGGATGCCCTTGATATTCTCATTAAGAAGACAGGAAAGAATCATATGACTTTTGCGTGGCAAACAATTGGTAAGTGTTCACCACATAATCATATTATGTTGTTTCTAAATTGTTTGTGTATTCACATATGTATGGCATAGTAGTGACAGTATGGACGGGCTATATCATGGTTTTGACTGCTTCAGGACTCTATATTATGTTTGATATTGGCGAGACTGAACTTCCCAAGTCCTTTCAAACCTGTGAACAATTCATTAATAGCATTAACAATTTGTTCACATTTGCTATACGCTTAAATTAATGTTTTCGATATTTTTTTTTTGACATAATTATTTTTAAAACTAACCAGTAACATTGTAAAACCCAGGAGAAATATGAGTATGAAGTACAAAGATTTCGTGACGATATTAGAAAAAAGAAAGAAGATACACATAGTTCTGCAGAAGTAACTAATTGGTGTCGGACTACACTGGGAACACTACAGTTTAAGGAATTAGTGAAAAAATGATGGTTTTTAGTGTTCAATAAAAATTTTAATACACACATCTCGTTGCACCCATAATATAAACTTCACGCTCATTCTTGCGAAAAAATATAGTATTTTTAATATAGTTATAGTTTGGCATTTATCTGAAGCTCCGCTAATAAAACTTGTGTATATCTTTAATCTTGATTTCATTCATGTAATTATTACGGCTCATCATCACGGCTGATAAAATAGTAATTTCCGTATAATTATATGAATCAAAGTACGATCATGGCCCATCACGGGCTACATTATGGTTGATTAAATTTTTCTTGACAAAAGTGATCTGTGATCCAAATTAGAACATTGTAAGGGTCAAATTTGACGCAGCATAACCTGGACTTGGGCTGTGCCACTATTTTTTTTATTATTTTATTACTATTACGTAGCATTTTTCTATATTTGTATATTCTATTATTAGTGTATCTTTGCTATTTTCGGTTATCCTGTTTGGATTACCATTTATGGTCGAAATCGACTCCATGGAGTCCATTTCATCGATTTTTAGTCTGTAAAAATGCATTATATAAAGAGCCTTTGGCTCGTTTTAAATAAAGACACTCATTAGAGTTTTAAAACTTCGAAATCATCGTAGTAGAAGTTGTTCTTTAAATAATTGATACCTCTGACCCAAATACGCTTAAGTAAAACCAATTCCTATCCCAGTAGTAGTTTAGGAGTTAGTGTTGTTCGTAGAATTAAAGAAAGATAACAATATTCGTACCAAGTACCTTTATATAGTAAAATACCCCAAATACCCCTAAGACCCATTGTTATTGTCAATTTATCGAACAATAGAAGATCATTGAAATTGCCCGTGACTTACTAAGCTCGTGACATCATCAATCGATTGAAAATCCGATTTCCGACATCTCTTACTTGTGACGTCGATCTTAGATTCAATTACTTGAAATCACTGATTACAACACTAGTGACATAGTGGATAAATTAAAGATCCGATTCCAATATCAATTGCCCGTGACGTAATCAAGATCATTGTTAAGAATCTTAACGATCGATCGACATAGGTAATCGTAACCACGTGACACGTGACCTCGAAAGAAGCTATAATAGAAGAAGTAAAAGTGTTAGTGATAATACTTTCGAGACACCAAAGACATATTAGAAACATATTATAAGTTTAAGACTTATCTGAACCCGGCAACCTCACCATAAGGCTTTACAAAGCTCTAGAACTCGGACCAAGTCTTTCCACGTCTCATTTCGAAGCCTACCACTCTAGGGTTTCAGTCTTATTTTATAGTAGAATTAGTGATTAGTTGGTTTGTGTAGTGTTATAGGATAGTTGTATAGTTATTTTTAGCGTATTCTCCGGTAGTTAACACAACTTCAACATACGCATTTTATTTTATTTTGAATAGTTACATTTTATATAAAAATAATGGCAAATACACAGTCTAAAATCGATTCATTAGAAGAACAGATTTCCAAGCTTATAGCTAAGAATACTGAACTTAAAAGGGAGAATGCTGAATTCTTAGCTAAGGAAGAAGGGTTTAGAGCTAGAATTGTAGAATTAGAACAGACCGCAAAAGAAAGTGTTGAGAATGAGGAGCGAAGTCAGATAGAAAATTCTAAACTTAAGGGTAGAGTAACGAAACTAGAACGTGATATCAAGGAGATTAAACAGAAACAAATTACACCTAATATTTCAGAACTTCATACTGATATATCCGTGCCAAAATCTCCTATTCATTCAGAATTATCAGCGATTACCAATCGATCATCTACATTATCACCTATTGAAAACCATCACGATAAAAAGAATGCGCAGATCACTGAATCGATTCCTAAGGAATTATCTATTTCTCCTGAAATAAATTCTAACAATACTACTGAAGAGACTAAGTCTCGAGTCTCCAATTCATCTTCAACTGTATTATCCATATGCATAAAGTATAAATCATTAGAAGATAAGGAAATGGATGATTTCATAATTTGTAAAGAAAAGGAAAGAGTTAGTAATATGATGAGGGAGAGAAATAGAGAAAAGAAGCTTCAACGTACTATTTCTTCTGAAATAAATTTTACAACTGAAATTTCCCATAGCAAAAAAATAATTCAATCGGAACCTGAAACTTTCGATGAATCAGAGAAAATAACCATATCGGAAGCAAAGAAAATTCCCTATAACCAAAAAGTCGAGCAAGGGTTGAGGTTTGAATTATCCATTTACGTCAAAAACAATAGTAACGGAACTAATGATGTAATTGATATACAGATTCCTGAATTCTCTATAGAAGCAATTCTAACAGGATCTAGTGAAGTTATAGCAGAAAATATAGCTAATTTATTTAACATTGCTATGAAGACTAGACAAAAGGAGATTTTATGCTAGTACTGTTATTATAAAGTGTACGAGGATAGAGTTAGAAATATTAGGACTATGGATAAAATTGACAACAAATCTGCAAGAACATTCGTATATAATGAAATCAAAACACTTTTACCTGATATTACTGATATAAACTTGCATAAAATAACTTTTAGAGCTAAAAGAGTTTATATATTGTTTGAAGGTATAGGAATAGATAAAATTAGTCAGGTGTCTTACAGTGCAAGTGCTATTTCAAGTTTAAAGGATATTCAAATTCAAAATATCATAAGCGATTTTTCTAAGTCAAATGAAAATCGAAAAGTAATCTCTGTTCCAAATTGGAACGCACACGTGACTGAACAAACTTTACCAGAAACTGAGGTAAGTGTTATATCCATTCCCTCTATCCTATCATCCCAGATTTCTAGCCATTTTGCGACTTCCTCCAGCAATTCAGAAGATAAAATAGTTGAGAAAGTAAAATCTTTACCAGATACCAAGACCAAGTTCAGTATATCTACTGAATCTCACGTTTCCAATTCATCTGGTTCGAAGCTATCTCAAGAAAACAATCCAGAAATAAAGGTAAATGTATCATTTAATCCAACCCATACCCATGCTTATTTTTGTAATAAAATATTAGATTAGTATCCTGATATATATAGAGAATTTAGTAGTGAAAAATTTGATTATTATGGACTTATTGATAAGTCGTTATGTCCAGCATGCAAGTCGAGTCATAAGGATGAGAAGAGTATAAGAGGTAGATATGAAGCTGAATTCTATTTTATTAAATGTGGGGCATGAAATTGAGATCACAGCATAAGTAAATAATTACATAAACTTGGATAGTGATATTTTTTACTTTGTGCTTCACGCTTAATAGCTACATAATTTTGAATTGACTTGCATTAATATAAAATGATAACATGTCTTCTGATACTACCTCCAGCAAGATATTAACTGATGACTATTGCAAATAGCATGCTAATTTAGTTGATTTATCAAGTTTTCAGACAGAAAAAATTCGTTCTAGATTATATAGAGCATACACGGAAGAGACTGGACTGGATCCTTGGATAAAGTCTGAAACTTCTGAATCCCCACAAAGCGAAAATGCTGATAATCGTATCATACAAGACAGCTCGTTGGAAACTCAGGTAATGGCACTAAACAAAAATCACCTTATACCATTGAACATAGAATAAATCCCAAAGAATTTTCAATTATTACAGAGACTGAGAAAAATAGGTGGACCACGGAATGTTTTCATGGGAATTTGGAAAGAGATATACATTTCTATTATGATGGAATAGAAAGAAAAGAAGACCCTAGAAAATATTGTAAATTTTTAACAGATTGGGAGAGGTTAGTCAGTGAAGAGTTATTACGTCGTGGTATACTAAAAAGTGGTTTGAGTACTGCATGGCTTAATGATCTTATGGAAGAATAGAAAAAAATTTATGCTCAATTCACACAGATATCTTTTGAGGAAAAGACTTTATTTGTACCACAGGTAAATGTTCAATCTATGCCATCTAAATGACAATTCCCAATTTCTGTTCTATCTAAAAACCCGGAAGAAAGGCAACAACACGTTATTGAAATGGTATTAGAATGATTTCCTTATTTAACTTTGAAACATAGTTTTAAATATAGTAATTATTTTGATTTTAATAGATCTGTACTCTGTCCTATATGCAACAATGATCATAAAAAAGAGAATATAAGAAATTTTATAGAGGGTGAGTGGAGAAGTGGCGAATATTGTGGTAAAAAAACTTATCGTCTCTATTGTTATATAAATAAATATCAGAATTCAATCCAAATAGTGACTGTAAAAGCATAAGTTAATAAGAAAACTCTATTATTTCCACCAATTGATAATCGCAAATTGCATTGCAGGCCTAAAGGGGCGACCCTAAAGGGTCAAAATCACGTAAAAATAAAACATGGGAAGGCTACAGGACCCCCCTTCTTTATTTAATAAAATTTTTTTTGCCAAAATAGGAACATACAAATAAAATAATACAAATACAAAAAAAAAATCAAAAGCCATAGTAACCACGAGGTTTTATTACTTTTGAAAATGTTATAGGATTGATACCCGGATAATTATATAGAATTTCATAATCAACAATTATGCCCACACCAGATAGCTTTTTTTGATTGCTTTCTAGATTGGAGTCATTAGTCTTGGAGGCATTACTATTATTGGTCTTGAAAGTGGTGCTATTGTTGGTCTTGGAGGTGGTACTATCGTTAGTGCTCATTTTTTGTACCTGAATACAAGAAAAATCATGGTAAGTAAAAATTCGTCTTCATAGATTCTGTTAAATAAAATAGCAAAATTACTTTAAAAATAAATTATGGGCAGGTAAATCAAGAAAAAATATATATGAGCAAAAAATAACATTATCTTAAGGTGGGAACTCGCTCATTTTTATATCATTCAGTTCACTAGATCTAAAAAATAAAATACATTAGTAATTACGTTATCCAAGTCTAATGCCAGGTTTTCTCCAAAAAGCAACTCCGCTCAGTCATAAGTTCCAAACACTGAGCCTATTTTGTTATTTTTTCTGGTAAAATTAACCCCCTTAGATTTGACGATTGCTTAAAGTGGGTTTAGATCTAACGATCTGGGAATTCCAAGTTCCTGCAACATATGAATTTGGACCAAACTACTGATTAAGAACATTATACGTATTACCCTTATAACCTTTTTAAGTCCCATTCTTGTCGTGGGATCTTATATAATAAGAAAATAGTCTAAATATAATTCATAATATTCGTTATAAATCAAAAAATCAACTGTGAGAAATGATTCTGCAGGAGAGTGTCACAAAACCTTATATCTAATTTTGTGTGACTTGTTACTGTAACTTACGCTAATATTAATATAATTTTTTTTATGACTTGTTGAAGTACTGTTTAGAATAGGCGAAATATAAGATCCGTTATTCTAAATTTGTAATACAAATGTTTATTGGATTTCAAATATTCGGTCTAAAAAAATCGTAATCGAACTTGTGCCATACGTACCCGTTGTTAAAATAAAGCATATATGTTTGCAGATGTCAGTGTGTTACTGTATTGCTTATCGTTATTCAAATTAACTGATACCAGATTATATCATACATAGTGAATTATTTTAAAATTTTCTTCAGAACAAAGTTTAAATATGATATTTCATTTTTGCATCGATCGAAATTTAAATGTAGTGTTTCATTAACGAAATTAAAATTATTTTAATCTGACACAAATTAAATTTGTAATGAAATAATTGGGTAATTTTTCACGAAGCAAATTGAATTTTTTGTTTATATTTCTTTAAATTATTTTTTTCTATAGTTTATGATACCAACAAACATAGTAACATATATTTATTCATGTAACTTATCATCTTGTATAAATTTAAATTATTTTTTTACGTGGTTTGTTGTAAGAGGAATATCTAGATTATGTTTTCTTGCACACATATTTTCTATTAAATACTTGAGAGTGGATTTCTGAACAAATACGTATAACACTCGTTCTTTTCAAACGAATTCATAAAATTTGAAATAAACCAACAAATTATTATATTAAGTTTTTTTTACTCTTAGAACTTTGCATATCAGGCAGTTATACAGTATTAATTTTAATCATCAAAAGCAGTCATGCTTAAAGTTTTCATCATTTTGATTATCTTGTTTCAAGGTGCATTATTGGGGAACATAGTTATTTTTCAAATGCCAGACGTTCTCACCATCTCTTACATCAAAAATAATCCAAATTTCTATAACTATTGTGACCAACAATTGGAAGATGTGGTAGGAATAGATGAATATCATTCATTTACGGCTTGTAAAGGATTAAGTGATTTGGCAAATAATGATCCACCTACCAATTTTTCAAACATAAACGGCATAGGTAGAGACTTTGATAAATGGGCCAGAAGCAAAGAATACAGGAGATACATCCATATTCCCAGTTTTAACGTTAAATATAATGCTGAAGGTTATATTGTCTCGGCTAATCCTCGAGATCCTAACTATCGTAATTAAGAAAATCCAACTAAAAATCCAGAAAAAGTCACCAATGCTGAACACAATCCTTATGGCTATACAAAAATTCCTCAAGCACCTTGGGAACCCGTTGGCTTTATTAAACTTGTCCTGTTGGATATAAACAGGCTGATATTTACACAGAGGACCCAACATTCAATGGGTTTCAATCCAAACCAATCAATAGTAATACTTGCCTGAATATTCATAATTTTAAAACTAGTCGATTATCTCCTTGTGCACGACGTGCTCAACAGAAAATGACAAAAACAGATACGCCATTTATTTTCACTAACATTAACATAAAAGTTTGTTGCGCTGTCAAGTTTCTATTACTATTGATCATAGTATTTTCCCCAGACCTGTCTTTACATTGATGGAAAAATGGTTGATGAATGAGAACAGACTGATCTTGGCAAGTTTATCCAGTCTGGGGGCAGTCAGCCAGATCTTTCTAAATTATCTAAGGCTAGTCACGAAAAATTGCTCAGTCTTGTAAATTATTAACATATAATAAAAAAGTTAAAAAAATGATTCCGGCATAATACAATAAGGGAAGTATTTATTTTCAGTTTTATTCATTTGGTATATATTGAGAATGGCTCTATATTTTTATATTTCACTCTACAATATATATGTATATTCTATCTTTATTTCTGAGAATAATAAATAGAATTGTATCGCTATAGCTTCTGAAAAGTAACAAATGTAAAATTTATTGTACAAGAAGCAGATTACATAATTTACAGTATCATTTTTTTATATATTGGA